ATTGAAATTAAAGCATACCGGAACACTCGAACAGGTGGTCAGCGGCGGCCGGCGTTGGAACACTTGAACGGAACACAGGTGGTAAGTAGGAAAGCAGGAAAGCAGGAAGTAGTGAAGTGGTGGATTGGTGGTGGTGGAAGAACGGAGTGAGGTGGTGAGAGGGAGAGATATGGGAAAATCTAGAGTTTTAGTGAGGGAAAGAGAAACGGCTGACTTTGAAACTCTGAAAAGGAAAAGGGAAAAGAGGGAAATTATTTAGGGTTTGGGTATATATATGTAGGAAAATGGGCTGAGATAATTGGGCTTATAAATTTCGGTTCGGTGTTCGGTTTTCGGTTTTTAAAATCCCAAAACCGAATCCAAACTGATATAATTCGGTTTTCATTTTCTCAAACCGATCCAAACCGAAAACCGAACAAAACCGAACCGAATTGCTTATTCGGTTCAGTTTGGTTCGGTTTTCGGTTTTTATCCAAACTACTTTCACCCCTAGTGGCTGTTGTGGCTGTGTGCTGCTGCCGCGCATATGGCCGCTCGCAAGGCGGGGCAGCCACCTTGGCAGCCACATGCGGGCTGCTATGTAGCGCGGCAAGCCAAGTAAGGTTCTTTGCCTCGTTTTGCGTGCCATGGCCTCGGGATTTGATCCCATTTTGCGAGACATAATAAATTAATTCTAAATTAATTTTAGAACTAACTTAATGAGAAAAAATGAAAAAAATTTAAACAAGTCCAACTTAATTATATTTCAAAGTGCAAATAACCAAAATAATGCCAAGAACCATTCTTAATTAAATTGGTTTAGCTTGGTGCAATAACAAAGTTGAGGCAATTTCTCACTTTTAATTTAATCAATTTAAATTAAACTTGAGAATTTGACAAAGTAAGGGGAAGTTGGAAAAATATGAACTTTAATGTTCAAATGAAAATTCCAACATCTAAATTTTGTGAATCCTTGAAAATTATATCTTCCAACATGAAGATAACCAAATTTCTATCACAAAAATTGAATCTTTATGTTTCCAATCAACTCAAAATGATTAAAACAACAAAGTTTAACATAAAATAACATGGAATTTAGTGGTTTTTAAAGTTTCAATCTCTTATCACAAATAAAGATTGAATCTTTAACACTTAGGAACCCTCAAAACAAAAAATTTCACACTAAAAAGCAATTAGTTTGCAATTATGTGAAAATAAATCAACCTTTAAGCATCAAATACTACCAAGTAAGTGTGCTTTAAGGGGACTTAAAAATGCAGAAAATAATGCAAATAATCAACCACATAATCAACAAGTTATGACATTAATTTAAAGGTTAGAAAAGACTTCAAATTTTTCGTCAAAAACGAAAAATCCCTCGAAAAAGGCATTTCTGGTCAGAATTTGGCTAAAATCACAATCCCTTAGGGATAAAAACCTTTCCAGAACACCTTTTCCACCCAAAATTCACTATTTTTGGGCGAAAATCTGGGTTCTGCGCCAAATTCAACATTAAAAACGGGATTAAAATAAATAAAACCGAGCTACTAATCTAATTAGCAACTTAAACCAGAAAAATAAGCCAAAATAAACCTTGAAAAACATTATTATAAAAATAAACGAGCGGGGCTCCGATACCGCTGTTGGGGTTTGGTGAGTCCGATTCACCGCGGAAACAACTCCGACCAAGGAACCACTCGTAATTAATAAAACCATAAAGTATAAATAAATAAACACAAGAAAAGGAAGAACGAATCATACCCTTGAAGCGAGCTTCGCCCTCTCAAAACGGGCTCGTACTTGAAAGCCTTGAGCACCGCAAATGCCGTGCCTCCAACGGTATCCACCCACAAAGGACGAACACGACTTTTTAGGTCCGCTACCTTGGAGTTAGCAAGGTCCGACCAAAACCCAAGTGTGGAGTGCTCTTTCTAACTACCACTCAAGCACTTTACTCCAAATCCCAAGGTTGGTATTTATAGAGGAAAGTATGAGTGGAATTTCCATCCCATCAATGTGGGATTCATGAAATTCCACAAATTAAATTAAAGCTAAGTTAAATTAAATATATAAGCAAGTAATAAATCAACAAGTTTCCTAGTCATATGTAAAGAGGAGTATGGACCACTTGGAGAGGAGGGGACTATACTTGCTCCCCACTCCTTCCTCTCCTTGTGACACTTGTCCACACTAAAAAGCAAGCACACTTACTAGCTTCCCCTTTCTACCCGATTTAGGCCCACGGCCCAACTAGCCTTGCACCGTGCGGGCTGCTAGCTGCTGCCAGCTCGGCCCAGCACGCCCACGCACATCAGTTTGGGCTGCTGATGCCGAGGGCGCTGCTAGCTAGCCACGCACATGTGCGGGCTGCTAGCAGCAGCGCACGCCAGCACTCTACACACTGCATGCGGGCTGCTGGCCGTACTATGCTAGCATGCCTCGCACATGGTGCGGGCTGCTAGCTCGGCTAATCCCCTAGCAGTCGAGATTCCGATGCTAGGGGTATTTTGTTCATTGTTGATTTATAACTAATTCGACGTCTCGTCTTTTTATTATTTTTGACTCGATTTCCGACGCTCGGTTTCGACGCTCTAAGCTCGAATTTCCGACGTCTAAATATTTAACACTCGGGCGACGAATTAATTTCTTCCGAATTTATTCGTCTAGTCGGTTCTTATATTTTGCTTGGGTGTGACCCAAAGGGTTTTGTCAAGATTAAGCTGTAATATTAATTATATTAATATTACTGATCGGAAGCGGCCTCCACCCAAGCATTCCGATCACTTGACCTTGATGAATTTATTAGCTTTCTAATAATTCTGAACCCGCTATCAGAATAATACACTTGTTCCAAGGACACCATTCCTTTCAATACTTAATTCAGAAGAAATTAATTCGTCGCCCGAGTGTTAAATATTTAGACGTCGGTAATTCGAGCTTAGAGCGTCGAAACCGATCGTCGGAAGTCGAGTCAAAATAATAAAAGACGAGACGCGCAAAAAATAATAATAAATCGACCATATTCCAAAAAATACCCCTAGCATCAGAGTGCCCCGAGCATCCGAATGCTAGAGGCAAAAATGTCGTAGCAAAGGTGGCTAGCAAACACCAAGCCGAGCCTAGCATGGCTGGCTGGTGCGTGCTAGCGCACCGTGCTAGCAGCCACGGCCAGCAGCAGCTAGCAGGCGCAGCACGTGGTGTGTGCAGTAGCTAGCTGCCGCGGCTAGGCACGCTAGCACAGCAGCAGCCGCGCCGCGCCACAGCAGCAGCTGGGTGCGGGCTGGGCTCGGGCTTGGCTGGTGGCTTGGCTCGGGCCATAGGGCCGTGGATTAAGGGGAAGCATGGAATATGGGAGCAAGTGGGAGAGGACATGTGGCACAAGGAGAGTATTGAGTGGGGAGCAAGTATGGTCCCCTACTCTCCATGTGGTCCTCACCAACCCATCTCACATGGTAATGCCACTTGTAGATTTATTATTAGTTTGCAATTTTAATTTAATTTAGCTTTAAATTAATTTGTGGAATTTCATGATCCCACATTGATGGGATATAAATTCCCACTCATACTTTCCTCTATAAATACCAACCTTGGGATTTGGAGTAAAGTGCTTGAGTGGGAATTAAAAAGAGCATTCCATAATTTTTGGGAGAACTCTTAAACTCATATAACACTCGGGTTTTGGTCGGACCTTGCTAACCCCAAGGTAGAAGACCTTAAAGTTGTGTTCGTCCTTTTGTGGGTGGATACCGTAGGAGGCGCGGCGCTTGACGTGCTCGTAGCTTTCAAGTAAGAGCCCCGGTTTTTGGGCGAAGCTCGCTTCGAGGGTAAGATTCGTTATCTTTTATTTGTGATTATTTATTTATGCTTTATGATTTTAATTATTGCGAGTGGTTCCTCGGGTCGGGGTTGTTTCCGCAGTGAGTCGGACTCACCAAACCCCAGCACCGGTATCAGAGCCCCGCTCGTTTATTTTTATAATCATGTTTTTCAAGGTTTATTTTGGCTTAATTTTCTATTTTAAGTTGCTAATTAGATTAGTAGCTCGGTTTTATTTATTTTAATCCCATTTTTAATGTCGAGCATGGCCATAACCCAGATTTTCGCCTAAGACTAGTGAATTTTGGGTGGAAAACGTGTTCTGGAAAGGTTTTTACCCCTAAGGGAACTGTGATTTTAGCCAAATTCTGACCCGAAATGCCTTTTCGAGGAGTTTTTCGTTTTTGACGAAAAATTTTAAGTCTTTTATAACCTTGAAATTAATGGCATAAATTGTTGATTATATGTTTGATTATTTGCATTATTTTCTGCATTTTTATGTCCCCTTAAAGCACACTTACTGTTAGAATACTGTATATACCATGCCTATAATATTATGTAATCAAACTCCTGGTTTACAGGAGGGTCTTTAGGATAGCAAGTATGGGACTCCATATTGCAGCATAGTTGTCCACATTCTCAGGAGCTTTTTTAGGAAAAACAGTATGGCTCAGCATGGCTAGTCTCTTGTATATATACTCTTCAATATCAAATCAACATACACATAAGAAAATTAAAAACACCAAAAATCTGTCAACTTTTATCTTGGTATCAGAGCCGGGTTCCGATCTCCGACGACCGGCAACCATCGGTTTCATCATATACCATGGAATCCGAAAAACAACCCGAAAAACAAACCATAGTGCCAAAATCAGTCACTATGGACGATCTATTGCAACTAGTTACACAGTTAAACACCAATAGATCAACCTCAGAAACCTCAAACCAAGCCATCCAAATTTCCGAAAAATTAAACCACAGTAATTATACTAAGTGGTCAAAGCTAATGCAACTAGCGATTGGTGGACGGGGAAGGCTCAACCACATCACGACCGTTCCACCGTCACCAACCGACCTAGAGATTGTTAAATGGACTCAAAGGGACTATTGTCATATCATGGATAATTGACAATATTGAACCAGAATTGCAGAATCAATATCTCGATTATCCAATAGCAAACGAGTTATGGAAGAGCATCGAAATAATGTACGGAAGCGGTAGGGATGGTTTACAGATTTTTGATCTTATGACCAAAGCGAACAAAATCCAGCAAGGGTCAGACGCAATAGAGGTGTATTACAGTAAACTCACCTCAATTTGGAAAGAAATAGATCAGAGATTGCCAAACCCTATGAAATGCTCAGAAGATAAAACGGTTTACAACCGTATGGCGCAACAAAACCGCCTCTATCAGTTTCTTGCAAGACTCGATGAGGCTCTTGATAAAGATCGGAGAGATCTGATTAATTCAGACCCTCTTCCAACAATTGAAGTAGCATATGCAACAATCAGGAGAGAGATTTCTCGAAAGGAAATCATGAAAAAGGAAAAAACCCCAACTGAAGACTCCGAAATTTGTAGTGGACTTGCGGCCAGAGGAAAACCAGAAAAACCGAAGTTCCGGCGGGACGATGAGCGAACACACCTCCGGTGTACCCACTGCGGGGGAATTCGACATACAAAGGAGGGTTGCTTCAAACTCATAGGGTACCCGGAGTGGTGGTATGAATGGAAGAAAAAGGGGGAAATTCAAAGAAGCGGGAAAGCAACCTATGCCGGTGAGTCGTCGGCCGGAGAGAAAGAAGAAGGGGGACTTGCGGCTGCCATTGTTAGCACAGGTATGGAAACTGGAAAAGAAAGGAAGGAAGGTAATGAAATCCTAATCTCCTTGTCTTATAATCAGCCCACTTACTCTTATATACCTAAGCTCAATGATGTGCCTCCTTATAAGCTTTCTCAGCCCAATTATGTGTCTAAGCCCATTCACATTAAATCAGACCCATCAAACACATGTATAACCCAGTTTATTTGTAATCTTAAAGAAAAAAATCAAGGGCCTAATACGGAACCGGTATTTGGGCTCCTTGGAAAGTGTAAAGAAAAAAGTGATAAAAAATGGATTTTAGACTGTGGTGCAACGGAAACTATGACATATGATATCTCTGATCTGGAAGATCTGATTGAACCTACAAAAAATTTTGTTCAAACCGCAAGTGGAGAAAAAATCAAAGTAGAGAGATCGGGAACAATCAAATTGCCGGGTGACATCAAACTATCCAACTGTCTCTTTATTCCACATTTATCTCATAAACTTCTTTCAGTTAGTCAACTAACTAAGGAGTTGAATTGTACTGTTCTAATAACATCTAATGGGTGTCTTGTGCAGGATTCTCAGACAGGGAGGATCATTGGGCGTGGTACTGAGGAGTATGGGCTGTATTATGTTGATCAACTCTGGACGTGGCATCGCCGACTGGGTCATCCATCTTTAGGGTATTTAAAAAAATTATTTCCTTCCCTTGTTAATGCAAAATTAAATGTTTATTGTGAGGCATGTATGTTAGCAAAAAGTCACAAACATTATTATCCTAGTAGCACTACCCAGACCGAAAAACCTTTTGTTTTGATTCATTCTGATGTGTGGGGACCTGCCCCAAAGTTTAGTAAACATGGTTTTCAATGTTATGTAACTTTTATTGATGATTGCAATAGGATGAGTTGGATATATTTCTTGAAAAACAAATCTGATGTTTGTGATACTTTTATCTCTTTTTACAAAATGGCCTAAACACAATTCTAGACACAAATCCGAATTTTAAGATCTGATAATGGAGGGGAATACAAAGACCATGATCTTGAAACCTTTATAAATGCAAATGGCCTAATTCACCAAACCACCTGTCCGGATACACCACAGCAAAATGGTGTAGCCAAACGGAAAAATCAGACACTCTTAGAAATGACCCGAGCAATGATATTTGAATCAAAAGTTCCCTCTTCTTTTTGGCCTGAAGCCATAGCTACAGCAAATTACCTTACAAACCGACTTCCTACAAAAAGCCTTGACCTAGCTACTCCCATAGACACTCTTAAAACTCATAAGAGTATTCCCCCTACTCACTCGATAGTTCCTCGCGTCTTTGGTTGTATAGTCTATGTCCATCTTCCTAAACGTAGTCGGGATAAGTTATCCCCTCGTGCCATTAAATGTGTCTTTGTGGGATATGGTGTGCATCAAAAGGGATATCGATGTTTTGACCCAGTCACAAACCGAATGTATACGACTATGGATTGTGACTTTGTTGAACACGAGTACTTTTATCACCATCTTAGATCTCAAGGGGAGAGCGTCGATGATGATCTAAGTTGGTTAACCTACTCTAGAGTTGGTACTGATCCAACTAAACAGGAAAATACTGATCCAACTGAACAGGAAAACATAACCGATGCAACTGCCGAGACAACAGACAACATAATACAATTCGATCAAATCGGCACTACCACTAATGATCCAATGTCAATGTCTGAGAATCAAGCAAATGATCAGGTTTGTACTCCCACTCCTGACTTCTTCCATGATATTGAGCCTACTGATCTTTCTCTTGAAAAAGCACCCATAGAACAACCAGAGACTCTTGACACTCCGGAACAACCGGAAGAAGGAAATGTGGAATCTGGGTTTGAGCAGGAAGATAGGCCTCGAAGATATGTGTTGCCATCAAGGAGCACAAGAGGAATCCCTCCAAAGCGGTATGATCCAGAGTTTGAGGCTCAAAAGTCAAAATACCCCATGAAAGATTCTGGTAAAGGTAACTTATCTCAAGGGGCTAAGGCATATAATGCTGCAATCTACTCAGAGAAAACTCCAACAACTACTAATGAAGCCCTTAAAAGCAAAAACTGGAGAAGGGCCATGGAAGATGAGATCAGTGCACTAGTCCGAAACAACACATGGGAGAAGTGCATTTTGCCTAATGGAAAAAGGCCCGTAGGGTGCAGATGGGTATTCACCATAAAATACAAAGCTGATGGAAGTATTGAAAGATACAAGGAGCGACTTGTAGCTAAAGGGTATACTCAGACATACGGGATAGACTATGATGAAACTTTTTCCCCTGTCGCAAACTTTAACACAATCAGAGTACTCTTCTCCATAGCTGCAAACAAAGATTGGCCTTTATACCAGTACGATGTGAAGAACGCATTTCTACATGGAGATCTCACTGAGGAAGTTTATATGGAAGCTCCTCCAGGTTTCTCTCAAAATTTCGATACTAGAGAAGGATGCAGATTGAAGAAAGCTTTGTATGGTCTGAAACAGTCCCCTAGAGCCTGGTTTGGAAGATTTACTACGGCAATGAGAAAGTTTGGGTATAAACAAAGTAATGTTGATCACACCTTATTCTTCCGGAAAAATGGAGAATTAACTACGTGCCTTATTATATATGTTGATGACATGATCATTGCAGGGGATGACAAGAAGGAGATAGAGCGGCTAAAGATGGAACTTTTCCAGGAATTTGAGATGAAAGATCTGGGAAATCTCAAATATTTCCTAGGAATAGAGGTACTCAGGTCACGGAAGGGTATCTTTATATCTCAGAGGAAATATATTCTTGATTTCCTGACAGAAATAGGTATGATTGACTGCAAACCCGTTGACACTCCTATGATGATGAATCATGGGCTTCAAATCATTGAAGGAGCCGAATTGGTAAATCAAACACAATATCAGAGATTAGTTGGAAAACTGATATATTTATCACATACTAGGCCAGATTTAGCCTATGATGTAGGGGTGGTTAGCAGGTTCATTCACAAGCCGCAAAAACAACATCTGGAAGCAGTTTACCGTATCGCGAAGTACCTAAAAGAAACATCTGGAAAAGGGGTTCTATATGAAAATCATGGTCCTCTTGACCTACATGCTTTCACAGATGCAGATTGGGGAGGTGATCGAGATAGCAGGAAATCTACTTCTGGGTATTTCAGTCTAGTTGGTGGAAATTTGGTTTCCTGGAGAAGTAAAAGACAGAAAGTAGTTGCCATGTCCAGTGCTGAAGCAGAATTTAGAGGAATAGCAAAGGGAATCACGGAAGTCCTATGGCTCAGAAAATTGATGTCTGAATTGGGATACAAACCTAAGAAGAGTTGCAAATTGTACTATGACAACAAAGCTGCAATTCAAATATCAGAAAATCCAGTCCAACACGATCGTACAAAGCATGTAGAGATTGATAGGCACTTTATCAAAGATCATTTGGGAGCAGGGGTGATAAGTCTGCCTTTTGTGAGATCTAAGGATCAACTAGCAGATATCCTAACTAAAGCAGTTACGTCCCAAGTTTTCGAAGAAGCATTGTCCAAGTTGGGAGTTGGAGACCCTACTACCCAACTTGAGGGGGAGTGTTAGAATACTGTATATACCATGCCTATAATATTATGTAATCAAACTCCTGGTTTACAGGAGGGTCTTTAGGATAGCAAGTATGGGACTCCATATTGCAGCATAGTTGTCCACATTCTCAGGAGCTTTTTTAGGAAAAACAGTATGGCTCAGCATGGCTAGTCTCTTGTATATATACTCTTCAATATCAAATCAACATACACATAAGAAAATTAAAAACACCAAAAATCTGTCAACTTTTATCTTTGGTAGTATTTGTTGCTTAAAGGTTGATTTATTTTCACATAATTGAAAACTAATTGCTTTTTAGTGTCAAAATTTTATTTTGAGGCTTCCTAAGTGTTAAAGATTCAATCTTTATTTGTGATAAGTGATTGAAACTTTAAAAACCACTAAATTCCATGTTATTTTGTGTTAAACTTTGATGTTTTAATCATTTTGAGTTAATTGGAAACATAAAGTTTCGATTTTTGTGATAGAAATTTGGTTATCTTCATGTTGGAAGATATAATTTTCAAGGATTCACAAAATTTAGATGTTGGAATTTTCATTTGAACATTAAAGTTCATATTTTTCCAAATTCCCTTTACTTTGTCAAATTCTCAAGTTTAATTTAAATTGATTAAATTGAAAGTGAGAAATTGCCTCAATTTTATGTTGCACCAAGCTAAACCAATTTAATTAAGAATGGTTCGTGGAATTATTTTGGTTATTTGCACTTTGAAAATTTTATTAAGTTAGACTTGTTTAAAATTTTATTTTGCTCTCTAAATTAGTTCTAAAATTAATTTAGAATTAATTATTTTTGTCTCGCGAAAGGGGATCAAATCCCGAGGTCGTGGCAGCGCCACCTTGCTTGCAGCTACACGTGTGGCAGCAGCCATGCACGGCAGTAGCACACGCGCGGCAGCAGCACGCGGCTGCAGCAGCCACGTGCGGCTCTGCCGTGGCAGTAGCTCGCGGCCGTGTGCCGTGGGTCGTGTGTTCGTTTTTTTTGGCGTGTGCGTATGCTTAGTGCGGTGAGGTGACTAGCCATAGTAAGGCTTGATGTTAATTATTTTTCCGTTTTACTTATTTTAATTAATTTTGTTTATTTTAATTAAAATTTTGGGAGGCTAGGCCTCGGTTTTGAGCGGCATTGGGTAAATTTCATTTTGACAAGTTTGGGTGCTACCGACTTAATTAATTAGATTAATTAAGGAAATGCGGAATTTAGTGGGAGCTTCAATTATTAATGACGTAAATTATATAATCGGTTAAACAACTTTGACTAGTTTTAATTAGGCGTGTTAATCGGATTAACCACCTAGATTAGTTACTAGTGCGCGCGTTGTTTAAATGCATTTTGACTTTGTTTTAAATTTGTAAATTGCATGGGGCATTCACAAATAGTGAATGGATGAATGGAATATATATATTCTCTCTCACATGTTTTATTAAATGGCAACTAGTGGGACCCGACTAGGATAGAAAATACGGACTACGTGCCGTTATGTATTTTTGTAAATCTAAATACGGTCTACGCACCGTTAAGTATTTTTGTACTTTAATATTTAGATTATTCCTAGTTCTAGACACTAGTTTTTGCATAGTTTGGTTAAGTCTTTAAGACGGCGTATCTTGGAAGACAAAGCCTTGAATTGCAAATGAAGACCTTTTGAAGATATGAAGATTTCAAGGGGTCATGCTAGTTTCCAATATGCATCTATGATTTCGCTCTATATTTTATGCTTATATATATGTGTGTGTGAATTATTCGTTAGATGCATGTTTAGGTTTTCTTGATGTTGTGATGATTAGTTAAGTTCACTTAAATCAACCAACATAGAAATCCTAGGTCCCTAATAATATTGAGTCAAACTTGCCTTTCCAAAACAACACTTACTAATCGGACGATGGTGATGGTAGGCTACGCCAATGCTAGGTGTCATCACTTCTCCAAGGGGCATAAGGCACACCGGGTGTGCACGTTGGTGTTAGTTTAACTCATCGGTATGAGTGAGGAGTCCTCACATACCGTGGCAAAAG